CCCGCATCGGAGAGCCTGGCAAGCTACCCGTGATGTATTCGATATGCCAAACACAGTAACAACAAAGTCTCCAATGGAGACGTTACTGGGCCCGCTCGAGCAAATTGATGATCAACGGGAGGGCCTTTACCTTTTTTTTTTACCTTTACACATAACTTTATAACACTATGTAAAATATTTTTTCTGAAACTGCAGAAATAGCTCAAAGGGATTTAGTAAATGCTTTGCATACCAGAGGCTCAGATTCAGCCCAAGTACCGGTGATTTTCAAGACTTTGAGCCTAACAGGAAGCCTTGAGCACCCCCAGGTATGTCTCCCTTGGAAAGACAAAAAAATGTCATTTTCATTCTCAAATTTCTTTTCCTATGCAGTTTTAGCACTTTATTCTTAATTATACACGGATTTTAAAATTTTTTCCATAAATTAACATAAAAGTTGACAGCCATTTTGTATTCTGGCAGTTTTGTTATCTAACTATAGAAATACTTTGGGGGTAATATATATCCCTGTTTCAAATATTATGTGTATTTAAGCACCATTGGTTTATCATTAGCTCCCCTTTTAAAATGTTAAGCCAAAATAGGGGCACAGCAGGGAGGGCAATTGTTTTGCATGTGACTGACCAGGATTCGATTCCCAGCATCCCATATGGTTCCCTGAACACAGCCAGAAATGTTTCCTGAGTGCAGAGCCAGGAGTAACCCTGAGCATCATTGGTTGTGACCCAAGAAGCAGATTAATAATAATAATAATAATTATTATTATAATTTGCTCAAAGAGTACCAGAGGGCTTTGGTATCCCCCTCCTATAATAAAAATCCCCTTCCTATAATAAAAATTTTCAAAATAGACTAAGCAAGGAATTTTATGTCTAACAGGGCTATGATTCTTAAGAGATGGGAAGTTGGCAGAGTCAATGATTGTTAACCCAGTTTCTTGTCATGGAAATTCCTGCACAGTGGCTGAAGACTGGGGAAGAAAAATAAATACTGGGCATCCTGCTGATTGGACCAGTCATGAGAGAGTAGAAGCGTTGACAAACTCTTCATAACTTTGAGCTTTTGAGATACATCACAGTGAAACTCCAGAAAAGAGGTTTAAGGAAATCTTCCTGGAAAAGATTTATGAAAGGCACTTGTTAAACTGCAACTGACATCAGTTTGTGTTTCATTGGTACATGAAGCGTATTTTTAAACTTGGAATCCTTGGGGATCTCTGCCTGGGCAACACCACTGGGAAGAGGTTCTGGAAGCAGGCAGATAGTGGTGAAAAACACAAGACTCACAGGAGAGCTGCGTCTGAGAGATAAATGAATGGATGCACTCTTGAAAGAGGGGAAGGGAAGAGATGCAGCAGAGACGGATGTCCACATGCTGGTGGAGTGCGGCTGTCTTCTTTCAAGCCTTCTCAGTAGGTTTGTTCTTTTGTGCAAGTCAGACATCATTTCTCTAGGTGCCCCAAGCTGTACCTGCTCTACGCTGCCAATTTGCTGAGAGTTATGTATGCAGATGTAAAACCAGCTTGCCACTTGGGAAGACTGAGTCAATGGGTGTTAAGTTATGATTTCCTAATGACCACTGACTCCATGTTAGATGTTACCTTTAATGATTTGAGTTTCTTGATTTCTAGTCATCTTCACGCTCTAAATTATTCTCTGAGAACACAGAGGGTGAAAATGCCTTAAACATCCACTATTTAGAGAAAAGTATCTGTGATAAATAACAGCAACATGGAATAGATGACACTAAGTTTGCAAGTAAAATTTAAATTTAAAATATTATTGTTTTTAAAACTAAGATGTACTTAAATTTAAGTATTGTTCATACAATCTTTAACAGCTTTTGGATTTAATCTGGTGAAAATAGCATTGCTCATTGTTTAAAAATTTACAAAAATAATTTTAATTCTTGAAATTCTGAAACAATTCATAAAATTATCTGCAAGTATAAAGCTTTAGTTATATTTTAAGCAAATCTTTTTTTTTGGTAAACTTTTTCCTATAGCTTGAACATGCTCATTTAAATAACAGTATGTTAAGAAAGAGAATTTTACTTTCTTTCTTTCTTCCTTTCTGTTTTTTCTTTCTATTTCTTTATTTCTTTCTTTCCTCTGTCTTCTTTCTTTCGTGCTTGCTCGCTTTCTTCCTTTCTTTCTCTCTTTTATTCTCTTTTTTCTTTCTCTCATTTCTTTCTTTTTTCTCTTTCTCCCTTCCTTCCTTCCTTCCTTCCTTCCTTCCTTCCTTCCTTCCTACCTTCCTTCTTTCCTTTCTCTATTATCTTCCTTCCTTCCTTCCTTCCTTCCTTCCTTCCTTCCTTCCTTCCTTCCTTCCTTCCTACCTTCCTTCTTTCCTTTCTCCATTATCTTCCTTCCTTCCTTCCTTCCTTCCTTCCTTCCTTCCTTCCTTCCTTCCCTCCTTCTTAAATATGCTGACATTTGCAATGAGATATAAAATTATCTTTAACTTATGATTACCTATCTAACGGTAATGTGTAGCACATTACACAATGTGTGAGGATTTAGTAATTTCATCTCATAGCATTCCATAACATGTGACATTATTTTCTCATAAATTTTCATCTATATGTGATAGAATACCCATTGTGAAATGATAATTTGATGCATTGTTTTTGTCTTATGAGTAAATTAACAATGAATTGAAAATATATTTTTGAATACATTTTCTGCAAAAATAGTGTCTATAAACCAAAAATCATTCTTCCAGCCAAAGTAACAAATCAAAAAACAAATCTGGACAAAAACAATGTCAACAGATGTCAGCATCTGCAAGACATCAGGCAGCTAAGGGCATTGGCAGCACCAGCTTCTGAACCAGGTGAAGCAGGGAAGGTGGTTCAAGAGGCTCTTAACTTACTGTCTTGTATTTAAGGACACAACTTTGGAGTGAAATCCTAACTGGAGTAATTGGGTACTGATATGAGTGACTGAGCTAAGATTTCAGGTAGAACATGCCAACAACACATTGAATGAGGACTGAGTCCCTCTGAGTCAGTCACTTCCTGAGCTGTAAATAGATGTTTAACTTTCACATCCTTGTGAGTAAGAAAGAGCTTTGAAAACCCCGGGTCTAGATGGGGTCTGGAACACTTATTTTTGCCATCAGACTGGGAAATTTGATCAATCATAAGACAGCTGGCAGAAAAATTATTTATTTATTTATTGAATCACCGTGAGAACAGTTGCAAAGCTTTCAGGTTTAAGTCTCGGTCATACAATGATCAAACACCCATCTCTTCACCAGTGCATATTTTCCACCACCAAGAACCCCAATATACCCCCCATCCCACCCCTCCTCATGCCTGTGAGGCAGATGATTTCCACTTAACTCTCTTTCTACTTTGATTGCATTGATTATTTTGACGAAAGATGCACCATTATTATTTGGAATATTGTCCAAACAATCAGACCTGTTGAAAAGGCATCGTGAAAAAATTTGTTTTCTATTGCTGGGTATGAAGACCTTATGATGCCGCGTAGTCGCTATTGTGATTTTGGATTTCTGATATTCTACTAATTAAATCTGGAGGATTTCTGCCAAAAGCCACTTAGTTTTAAAATTGGTTTGTGTGCCTCTGGGTCCATGGCCATGCCAGAGAGCCACTCGTGGGGGTAACTCGTGGTCTCTGTGGGGCAGGAAGGACATGCTGGTTCCACCCCCCCCCCCCCCCCCCCCCCGCATCCCATGAGGCTCCAGTTGCCCCGTCACTTCTGGCTCATACCTGGCTGTCCAATAAGCTCTGACGCGGTGGCCACTGGGCTGCCAGGGGGGAAAAGGTGGAAGAGAAGACACCCTTTCCCTCCTGGGGAGGGGGTGGATGGTGCTATAGCTTAATGCATAGTCCATTCACATTTCAGTTGGCAGAAAATTTAGATTTTTACCTCAACAATTGTTAGTAATTAAGTCTCATCTAAATACTGTTCATGATTTTTTTTGGCTTTTTTTGGGTTACACCCTGCCATGCACAGGGGTTACTCCTGGCATTGCACTCAGGAGTTACTCCTGGCAGTGCTTGAGTGACCATATGGAATGTTGGGAATAAAACCCCGGGTCATCCACGTGCAAGGCAAACACTCTACCCACTGTGCTATTGCTCCAGCCCCCTGTTCATGATTCATTTAACAAATTTTAAAAGCAAACTGAATAATCAACTTACTTCTTTGCAGAGAAAAGTTAATACATACGTGCATAAGTACCACTCAATGCAATAAAATTTATTAATGTGACAACCAGTCCAACTTTAAAAGAGGAAAAAGGATAATGAAAAAAAATCCGTTGAGGCAATTTAGAAATGAGAGTCATGTGAGAATTAAAAAATAAGGAAAATAAAAAGTCAATATAAGTTCCCTCCAGTCTCCAGAAGTTAAACATGAATGTACACATTATGAATAATACATTATTGGACTTCTATAAATTAAAATAGTATTTTGATATGAAAAATAAGCTAGCCGGCACTAATAACATGTTCAACGTTGGAGAGGAAAAGATAATAGAATATAAAGACAAGGCGAGAACACCTAAAACAAAAAAAAATAGAAAATTATTGTAAGTGGGGTGACTTCATTAAGTACAATGAAATTAATTGGGATACCTAAAGAAAAAAATAATTGGATAAATAGATGGTGAAAAATTTCCACATTTGTTTAGGAAATTAAAAAACAAGACTTAGGAAGGAGGAAAAATGGGAAAAATGGGAGATGGACTGGATAGGAAAGAGGGAGAGAGAAAGGAAGGAATTTCAATAATATGATTTTCCAAAAGTAAGAAAGAAGTTAATTATAAACGTCTCATAAAGTATTAAAAAACAAAAACGAATGTCTTACTAGGTATCTGCTCTAGCCCCTTATTCTTTCCATGGCTCTGAAAGTTCTTCTCCTTCCCCCTATACTGACAGTCCTTCTTTCACTCAGCCTGCTACACATTTCACCCTTAAACCATGTGATCAGGGTTTGTATTCCTTTCCCTTTAAGATACCTGGGGACTCTACTTACCTCACAGAGAAGATGCCCTGATCTCCAAGGAGGTCTTCCCAGAGCAGGGCTTACCCATTGCAGTCCGGGGGTGCTGACACCTGGGATTCCCTCAAATGTGGGGAAATCCACTGTGAAAGGTGTGGTGGTGCATGACTGCATTTGCAGCCTCATTCCATAGTTTTTAAAAAATTATATGCATATATATGCATATATTTGTTTGCTACATCTAGGAAACCTTTTCTTATCACTACCTCTGCATTTGTTCATTTTTTTAAGGAAAACTTTTGACTTTTTCTCCCTCCAAGTCCTTGCTTTCTATTTGCTAACATCGCAAGCCAGTCTCTACCCACTGAACTGCTGGGCGCATAAACAATGTTACCGCATCTACCCAAAGCGGAAGTTTTTTTAAAATTTTTATTAGTGAAACACTATGAGGTACAGTTGTAGACTTACAAATTTTTGTACATGGGTTTCAGTTATACAATGATCGAGTACCCATCCCTCCACCAGGGCCCATTCTCCAGTCAGCACTCTAGAGGTAAAGCAGCTCAGATAGAGACAGGAGCACCAAAGCGGAAGTTTGAATCCTGGTGAGTTCTCAGTGAACTGGGTACTCCAAGACTGGCCAGCAGGATGTATCTATAGAAGATAGACCTTTGCCCATGTGCCCTTAAGGGGTAAAATTTATAGGGGGCAGTAGATATGGGAGCGACCTAGTATAATTTGTGGGGGCGGGAGGACATTCATCAAATTTCGAAGAAAATTTGTAACCCAGGTATCCCCTGGAGATGTAAATACTGAGTTCTGTGGAGATGGGAAAATGAGTCAAGGTCAACAGGCAGAAACTGAAGGCAGAAGGGAGCAACACCCTTTCCCTCCTGGGGAGGCATGGCGCCATAGTTTAATGCATGGTCCATTCCCTTTTCTTCTGCAAGCTGCTGGGCTCTGGATTAAGTCATTTTGCCTCTGGAGCCATGGCCATGCCAGAAAGCCGCTTGTGGGGGGCAACTCATGACCTCAGTAGGGCGTGAAGGACGAGCTGGTACTACCCTCCTTCCCATGAGACTGCAGTTGCCCCATCACCGCTGGCTCATACCTGGCTTTCCAATAAGCTCTGAGCCGGCAGCCACCTTGTATGTGGTCCAGATGCATTTCTGCCAAAAGCCGCTGGGTTTCAAGATTTGTTTCTGAGTCTCTGGTATCATGGCTATTCATCAGCTTGATCAGGAGCCAGAGAGGCCATTTATAGGCGGCAACTCGGGGTCTCATTGGGATGGGAAGAAAGAGTTGGCTCCACCCCCATGTGGTGAGGCCCCGTGTGTCTCGTCACTGCAGGCCCAAACCTGACTGTCCAGTGGAGGATGGTGGTCACCAGGCCGCTAGGTGGAACAGGCCAAGGCACCAAACCTATTCCCACCTGGCGTGGCCCAGCACCAGTAACCTACTGAGGGAACAGGATGCATTTCTGCCAAAAGCCTTTGGGTTCCGAGATTCGTTTCTGAGACTCTGGGATCATGGCCATTAAGCAGCTCAATCAGGAACCAGAGAGGCCATGCCTCCAATTATATAGCTGAGCGTAAGGTGGTTTGTGGGTGTGTCTCCCACTTACCTAACTTTTGGCCATTTACTTTTTTGGTAAACTTGCCCCTAGTTTTTGGGGTCTGGCCAAAGGCACAGCAGCAATTTTGGGGTATCTGAAAGTCTGATGTTGCCATCAGGCTGCTGATGCACTCACCTCACAGGTACAGATTGACCTGCTGGCAGCACCATACCCCCGTATTTTTTCCTTTTTTGATGCTCAAGGATTACTCATGACTCTGCAATCAGGAGATACTCTTGGAGGTGCTCAGTGGATCATATGGGATTCTGGGGAATCGAACCCTGGTTGGCTGTGGGCAAGGTAAATGCCCTATCTGCTGTGCTATGGCTCAGGTCCCCTAACTTGAGTACTTTTATGGGTCATAATATCTGTGTGTTTTAAATATCCAGAAAATTATTGTATTTGCTTAGGACTATAAGTCGTTTATAAAAACCTGGTCAAGCAATATCAAAGAAATTAATTTATGGAACCAAGAGAATCCTGGTTGGTCTTCAGAAGTATTCCCAGGGGCTTCATTTATACAATACATTTGCACGCTTTAAATATTGACATCTCTTCAGCTGGAGTTGTAAACAATTCAACTGGCAAGAGAAATAAAATGCTGAAGGAGGAGACAAAATGATGTAATTTTGATTATCTGTGATGGAAGAAGAACGATATGGTAGGCAATTCCAGTCTTTGTGCTGACATTTTAACTGAGAAGTTGAGGACCTTGCAAATGGCTTCAGATGGTACTTTTCCACAGACACTTCCGAGAGTGCTTTAGAAACCGTGTAGATGATCCTCACTCCAGGTGACACACAAGGGCCTGGGGGATCTCAAGGGTGCCAGGAACTCAGGAAGGGCAGATGCTCCTCAGGTGCATTGGAATGGTAAACACTTCAGTATTTTTAGGAGCACTTTCATCTATCCAACCTCGAGGACCGTTACCACACTTCAGGTTCACCTCGTTTCCTATTTTTAGCTTATTGAGAAATACAGCTTCCAGATGTGATTTTGATTATGCCAAATTTGTGCAATAAACATATTTTCAGGTAGCTCAAAGTGCATAAATGTGACTATCTATTGAAATGTTAAACTTGCAGTCTTATCAAAACAGGTGCATTGTATTTTTAAAGTTGCAGTGTACCAAAAATTATTATAGCAAGTAGTTTTTATATGTGCTATTCAGTAAGAAATCATTCTGTTCCCATATTCAATATCTTTCTTTCATATATGTGCATATATATGTATGTATATATGTGTATATATATATGTATCTGACCTTTAGACATGAAGCAACAAGCTTGAGTATTTCAGTTACATTGTCAAGTTTAGACAGGATATAGCAACTGCCTTCCTAAAATTGATTCATTTTCAGGGGGTCATACCTGAGTGTGCTCAGGACTTTCTCTTGACTTTGCGCTCAGGAATCACTCCTGGAAGTGTTCAGGGAATTATATGGGTTGCCAGGGATTGAACGTGAGTCAGCTGTGTAAGTAAGGCAAGCAAGGGTGCCTTCCCTACTCATTGTGCTATCTTTATGGCCCCTGCTTTTCACTTTTGGTCAGGGAGGGTATTGGAGCACATGCAGCAAGGGAGCTGAGGTCCAGGATAGGCTAGTCCTGGCTCAGTGCTGGGGTTTTCCCTGCAATATACCATGCCAGGCTGAGAAAAAATCCAGGTTTCCTGTGTGCAAAGCAAGTGCCCCACGCTGAGATAGTGTCTCCCTTTGGAATGTTTAAGCACTTGAAATTATTTTGGATTTGTTTCTTACTGAGGGAGACAAGTGCAAAGGTATGAATTCCCTTATCAGAGGTACTGCCAATTTCAGGGGTGGGTTGTAAGTTGCCTCCCAAGCAGTGCTCAGGCAAACTTATGTCAATGCCAGACACGAGGCCAAAGAAGCAGGTGGATTAGTACTGAGGTTTAGGGCCTACTTGTCAGGAGACACTCCATCTTAAATGCATGTACAAATTTCATCACTGCTACCTATAAGTCTGGCTCTCTCTGCTAATGGTTTTTCAGCTGGAGTATGTGATATGGTTTATGATCTTTCCCAGGGTAAGACAATGAAAGAGTTAACCAGCTCTCTTAACTGGTAAAATATTCCCAAGAAAGAAAAATTCAACAGCTTCCAAGCTCTCTGGACCATCAGCAGAGTCTACAGCTTCTAAAGGGAAATATCCCAGCGCTACACTGCAGACCAGTGAAGTGTCTCCAGATCCTATGTAGAATGCCAGCATCCCCTAAGTCTAGAGGCTAAGAGAAAAACAGAGAGCATCATTGTCAGAGTGAGTGGTTCAAGCTGATGTTCTCATAAAGAGACCCAATAAATCCCTAGACAATAGCATTCTCTCTCTCTCTCTCTCCTCTCTCTCTCTCTCTCTCTCTCTCTTCCTTTTATGGTCCTCCCAGGTGGAAACCCGTCCTATCTCTACTCGCAATAAACTTTAACTCTTTGTAACTTGAAATCTCTAGTCCAGTAGCCAATTATCACTAATTCCAGATAAATTTGGACCACAGCACTTACTGCTGCTCTCACTGCTGAGATTTCCTCCTATTCTCATCTGAATTACAAGTTGTCACATCCTGCAATGTGATTGACCACCAAGGCAGCTTCTCTATTGCTTGAGGGACTCCTGAGGGTGCCAGGGAGCCATGTGGTACCAGGGCTGTAACTTTAATTCTGGCCATGCAAAGCCTGCACTCGGATCACTGAATGGTCTCCACGTCACATCTCTTTAGTATGAGATGGTCTCTGAATGCAGCATTCACTCCAGGCTATCTGCTGGACTTTCTAAATCTTAGGTTTCATGCTCTCCTCATTATTTTACCTGCTCTCTCTTTTCAAGGTTCCTACCAGCGGCTTCCTATTGCCTCTGGTTGCATGCAATAGAAAAGATCTATTCTAGTCTGGCCAGACTGTGTTTTGCAAAAGCTTATAACCTCCAAAGCTCCAGGGTGAATAAGCAAGCATCCCTTTTGACTATGGCAGCCTTTCCAGATGTGGAAAGCGGGGGAGTTGGTCATCACTTTCTGACTTTCCTGCCTTCTTTCGAAACAGCTTCTTTTGACAAACTCCAATTGGAAAAGGAAAAGGATGAGGCCAATGTACATAGGTTTTGGATGTGCCGGAGTACAGATAATTAGATAGTATGCTTTATTTTCACTTAATTTTTTTATCGGTCAGAAGAACAACAAAAAATCCACATATTTTGGATATAAATAAACAAAGGGAACAACAAATGGACCAATTCCTTGGAACTAGAGATTTTGTCTAGAGAACTGCGCTAACATGTGAGCTCTGAGATAGGTGGAGGCATCTTTCTGATGTCGGTGGAGGGAAGTAGGTTTTCTGGTGATGGTGTACTGTTGGAAAGGCTTATGAATACAAACTACAGTTAAGATATTGTAAACCCCAATATTTCAATTAAAATGATTTAAAAAAGCACCTAGGGAAGAAAAATCCTATAAGTCTGAGAAAGAAATTACGGGGGATATTCAGATGAAAAGAAACTATGAAGATGCCATAGCCAACCTATGCAAAGGTCCTTGGATGTCAGCCAAGACCTGGATACTAGTCAGGCTGCTC